CCCAGGCAACTCAGTTAAGGCTTTGCATAAAGATATAAAATAAAAATTAAAAAGGGATAGGAATGTAGCTCAGTGTGAAGGCTCTGGTTTCATTTCCCAGTACTGGGTGCAGCACCCAATACCAATGATGTGATGGATTCAGAACTGGCAGAGAAAGGGGAAAGCAAAAAGGTGGGTGTGTTAGTTCTACCTGAAGCAACTTGAGTCATCAGGAAAGAGGAGGTGATGTCCATATCTGTGACCTTCACTCCCATCTCAATACTATTCCCTAAGTGACTCACTTATTTGATTCTGGTTTTTAAAAATTAATTTTATTGAGAAAGAAATAGAAATGAGACAGTTCCAAAACATGTTAGTAGGACAGTTACAATACTTAATACATTACACATTGTTGTTTTCGAAGTAGTTATTCAGAGTACAAGATGCAGACATGGTATCTTGTCTAAACACTATTAGTACAAATCTTTCTTCTCATTGAACTAAGAGAAAGTAGCTGTATATCTATCTACCTATCTATCTATCTATCTATCTATTTATCATCTATCTATCTATCTATTAACTACAATATGGTCCTTCATTTATATCCCCCTTTCTTGTTTAGTCTTGTCAGAGATGGTATTCCATTGCCATTCAAATATTGTAGGTACATGAATTCAGCAAAATAATCTGTGTCTCTCCACAAGGTACCTAGGTCTACTGAGTTTCCTGCCCTTGTCTCCGGTTCAGGGCTTGGCCTGGACATGGAACCTCTGGCATGTGGGTTGGGTAAAGGAGGGTGGAGAAAGGCACAGTCATCTCTCTGGGAAATGGTGAGGCATTCACAGCCAGCCTGTGCTTTCCCCAGGTGGTGTGGATCACCGCCACGCTGCCTTACTTTGTGCTGTTCGTGCTCCTGGTCCATGGAATCACGCTGCCTGGCGCCTCTGATGGCATCAGTGCCTACCTGCACATCGACTTTTATCGCCTGAAGGAAGCCACGGTCAGTGCCCAGCGACCACTCACCCTTGGGCCAGGGTGGTGGGAGGTTTCTCAATAGGAGTTGATGATGGAAAATCCTGTCCTCGACTGTGTTACAAAATTGGAGTTAGCCTTGGAAAAGATTCCTCTCTGGGCAGGAGCTTCTCCATGTGATAAATGCAGAGTTGCACCAAAAGTCTCCAACTATCCCTTTTGGTTCTGATGATCCAGGCTTCTGTGGTTCCATTTGTTGGCCTCCACAAATCTTGGTCCTGCAAGGACAGCCATACCTCATAAAGGGAACATGATATCCTTGCAAGTTGTTCCAGTCTTGTGCCATGTCATATTAGCCCATACAGACACTCTTGCCTTATTTTTACCCATAATCCCCAATCCTGGCCTTTGTCACCATCCTGTGCTGTCATTGTAAAGCGCATCCTCAACCACCTGGGAGACATGGACATATACCTTCGTCCTGCAGCATCCTCCTTTGGCTTATCATCCTCCCCAGAAGCCCAAATTGTCATGAAGGAGGGGGAATTTGATAGCAGAATCTGAGGTGGAGCAGAGACCATCACATCCTCAAATAATGATCTTATTTCTAGCCTTCTCTTCTAGGTTCCTGCAGGAATAAACCTCACCATTTGTTTTCCTCACAACTCTCAAGGGATATTTTACATTTTATTTGAATCCACAGTGATACTGGCAAGCAGGAGCAACACAGTATTAGGAGGGAAGCATCCCAGTGTGCTGCCCACATAGTTCAAGTCCCAACAGAAAACTTATTTCACCAGTAACTATCAGAAAGACAACAGAACATGAACCACTCTTCAGGCTTGTGAAACACAGCACACTTCTATTTGGTCTATAGTTATTTAGCTCTTTCTTCTCATCCAGATGAGTAGAAATGAAACTATTAGTGTAGTCTCAAAGGGCAGATCTATCTTCTTTTATCAAGTTCCTCCTTTCATTGTGCAAATTTGGGAAAGCCTGGAATAATGCAAGCGAGAGATGATAAAAATCAATTGCAGCCCTTAGTTGGGGTGGTATCATGATACCCTCACCATACGAATGGGGACACTGAGGTATTAGAGAGATGAAATTGACCAGGGATAACTAGTAAAGCAGAGAAACTAGAGAGTGGCACAAGCCTTTAGATTCTCTGCCGTGTGCTTTCATTTGCAAGAGGATGAAGCAAGTCAATCTCATTCCTTCCCCAAGGTGGACTCCACAGTATCTACTATGCATGTTCTGCTAGAGCTCTGCCATGAATAATCATCCCTTTCTGTAACTGCTTTCTCCAAAACTCTTGACATGACCCCTTTGCTATTGCCAACATTCTAGAATTTTTCTGCTTATGTAATTTCTTTGAAAAACCAGAATTTTAAGTTGATTCATTGAGTTCCTCCATGCAACTCATGAATACCCCAGGCTAGGAGATTCTAAATAGAACCTACTCTGTCTTGTGGGGAAAAGCTGTTTCTATTGCTGCCCATCTCTGATTCAGAGCATGTTCCTTGTTTTCAGAGTATCCCCAGGACTTTCTAGCTTTTCCCAAGAATGGGGAGTCCAAATACGTATGAAGAAGAGAGTAATGGCTTTTATCTGCTGGTTTTAGGTGTGGATTGATGCTGCAACTCAAATATTCTTTTCCTTGGGGGCTGGATTTGGAGTCTTGGTTGCATTTGCTAGTTACAACAAATTTGACAACAATTGTTATAGGTAAGTTTGTTCTCAGAGCTCTGGAAAACTGAATCCTTGGTACTGACCCTTCTGGAATAGGAGAGAGGACTCTGATTGAACTGAAAGCCAACTCTCCTTGAACAAATCAAAGGTTCTTCTTTGGCCCACCCTAGGCATTTTCTTAACTATGGTAGGTGTGATCTATGGGCTTCAATTGAGCACCATTTACTCCAGGATGCCTCCTTAACAGAGTGTATTAACTTTTTCTTCACTGGGAAAAGGAGCTCAACACATACAATCTAAAGAAAGAGAGGTTTAATTTGGTTTATGGTTTGAGGGGTTCAACTCATGGTTGGTTGGGTCCAATGCAGAAGCTGCATGGTAGAAGAGCATGGAGGAGTGCTGTTCAGTTATGGCAGCCAGGAAGCAGAGAGGGAAGGAAGGACCTGGAGACAAGAATACATCCTTCTAAATCATGCCAACAGTGACCTAGGTCTTCTGACCAGGCTCTACCTCCAAAGGTATAATATTTTTGGGGGGGCATTTGACATCTAAACCATGACACAAAGATGCCAAGCTGAGAAATGTGATGTCATCATGGCTAGGCTATCACAGAGATCTGTACCTGGGACAGCAAAATCCAATGTGGCCTTCAGAGAAAAAAGTGCCACCTGACTTTCCATTGGCTGTTCTGGCAGGCAGAGGTAAACAATCAGGCTGATGAAGCCTGGCTCTATCAGAGGTAAGATTGAAAGGCAAACAGGGAGTCAGAAGACTTGTGCCAGCTCAGGTTAATAAGCATTTAGTATTGCTTCCTACAGAGGCAGTATTGTGGGGTTCAAAGATGGGCAATTTAGGTTTACTCTCATCACCCCACCCTAGAAGGAGGGAGAATAAGTGTTTTTGTTTCAAGAAAGAGTAGGATGAGTAAATACAGTAGGACAGGCTTTCCTTAGTAAGGATTGGGGTGGCTAGCTCCTTGCTAGGATACCAGCAATAAAATGGAGGTATATTTGAGGCAAAGCTCAGAGAACAGCTAGGATTATGACAGGCAGGAATGGAATAGATGCATGCATGGTGAGAAACAGCATGAGACAAGGTGAAGAGGTGGTGTTTCCAAACCAGCAAATTGAGTGCTTTGGTTTGCTTAAAGAAAGTATATTAGGGATCATAAAAAATAAGCCTAGATATGAAGTCTTTTCTGGAAATTTTATTTATTTATTTATTTATTTATTTATTTATTTATTTATTTATTTATATATTTGGTACAAGGTCTCACTACACAGCGTGGACCCATAATGATTCTCCTGCCTCAGCCTCCCCAGAGCTGGGATTATAGGCATGTGCCCCGATGCCCAGTTTTCCACTTTTGGTGGCCAGCATGTCACAGCGTCTGCACAACATGTAGTACCAGGAACTGAACCCAGATCCTTGCACTTTCCAAGCAGATGCTTAGCCTGCTAAGGTATCTTACCAGCCCCTAGATGTGAAGTCTTCTTATCAAACATTTTATATGCCAGGGTGAAGGGTTGGAAGGCCTTGGTGAGCCATGGAAAATCAGCTTACTGAGTTGATTCCAAAGTCTCTGTTGTGAAACTATTCTATCAGTGAACTAAAAACCTACTGCATCAGCAGGTTTTAACCAAGTGACAGCAGGGCCTGGGTCCATGTGGTTGCAGGTCAAAGGAAGGGAGAACTGATACCTGAGGCTAGATCTAGGTTGTGGTTTCCACAGAGGGTCCCCAGAGTGTCCACAAGGGGGTTTCAGGTATGATTCAGATAGACTTGAACCAGGAGCACTTCTTTCCCTCAGGGACGCCCTGCTGACCAGTACCATCAACTGTGTCACCAGTTTCATCTCTGGGTTCGCCATCTTCTCCATCCTTGGTTATATGGCCCATGAACATAAGGTCAACATTGAGGATGTTGCCACTGAAGGTAAGCGGGCAAGTACTTGGCCTCAATTGAAGAATGACAAGCTCAGAATGCCGCATGCTTCCTGATTTGACAGATGATGGGTGAAGGCAATGTATAGCTCAGCTCACAACCAAGAAGAATGGGAAATCAGTGTGTGTAGGACAGGCCAAACACATGGAGTTTTCTCACTTTATAACAATCCTCTTTCAATAACCAATCTCTAAAGAGCAAGAACTCATTCCTGTAAGAACAGCATTAATCCCTCTACAACTGAGTGACCCCCTTCCTAGTCCCATCTCCTGTCTACCTTGGTACACTGGAGACGAGACCACAACATAAGTTCTGATAGAGACAAACTGTAATCAAACCACAGAAACTCACTTCTGTTTAGTTCTCCCAATGCTGTGAGGCAAGTGTTGGGAGAATCCACTAAAACCTGAGAAAACTAAAATTCAGAAAAAGTCTGTTGTCCAAGTGTCCTTTCTTTCTTTTTTAAATTAATTTTATTGAGAAAGAAACAGCAAAGAGACAATTTCAAAACAAGTTAGTAGGACAGTTACAATAATGAATACATTGCATATTGTTGTCTTCATAGTGGTTATTCAGAGTACAAGATGCAGACATGATATCTTGTCAAAACACTATTAGCATAAATCTTTCTTCTCATTGAACTAAGAGAAAGCAGATGCATATCTATCTTATTTTTTATATACATATATTTTTTTTTCAAAATGGACCTTCATTTATATCCCCTGTTTTAGTTTAGTTTTGTCAAAGATGGGTGTTCCATTGCCATTCAAATATTGTAGGTGTGTGAATTCAGCACAATAACCCAATATAGTCCAATAGTCCATAATAGTAGTGGGTTATCGGCAAGACTGGCAATGTCAGAAGTTGTTGACTTGAGTCTTTTACAGCTTAGCATGTTAATATAGCTTTACTTTTTATACCTCATGTTTATACTTTTCTGTTGGATGGTTAAGATCAAGATATACTCATAAGTGAAATAAACCAGACCCAAATGGGTAAATATATTATAGTCTCCCTAGTGTAAGAACTCAAAAGAAGAAATAAAAATTGAAAGGTATGACACAGTTAAATGGAAAGTGAGAACTTAAGGATTAAACAATGAAGAGATGGCAAGGAGAAAAGCTAGGAAACGAGGCAGGGACAAAACCATACATTTATATACATAAGATATCATCTTTCTTTTTCTTTTCTTTCTTTCTTTTTCTTTTTCTTTTTTTTTTTTTTGACCTGGGAATTGATCTCAGGCCCTTGCACTTGCCAGGCAAGTGCTTATTCTACTGAGTCATCTCACCAACCCCTATATACATAAGATGGTTAAGGCAATGATCTTGAGAATCTCCATCAGGTTTTTGAAACTAACAGTTAATTCGTAGAATTCTCAGCCTGACTAACTATATATGCCAATACCTGTGAACTAAGCAACTGCACCGAGGTTAGCAATACTAGTTAGGGCCATGCTTGGAATGCCTGTCATTCTGGTCTTCTAAATGTGTACTTCTTCTAATGGCATATCAATTATTGCTATACTCTCTCTCAAATAATTGTTTGTTTAAAAAAAAGTAATAAAAAAAACAAGAGACAAGAAAAAATGTCATAGGACTCGCCTGTTACAATGCTGTATACGGTTAGATTTCTAAATTTTTGTGAAAAAATGTGTAACTGTTTATTATTATTTTATTTATTTTCATTTTTTATTTTTTCCACATTCTATAGGGATTTAAAGTTTAGCATATGAACGATTGGTGAAAAATACCTGTCCCATGTTATGTTCAAGGCATTTGATATTCAAACAGATAGTGATGCTAAGCTCAAATGCCTATGTTATAGGGTAAGAATATCATTAAGCTTCTCTTCTGGAAGGTTAACAACTTAAGTTTGCTGACCAAAAAATTAGAGAAAAGGGCTACAAGGATAGCCAATATTTTGGCCCTAGCCCTTCAAGGTCAGTGAGGACTCAGGACATCAGAGAACCTGTACTATAACATCCTATAACTCAGTGGTGTCCCAAATTTTCTGATCAAGGAGATTATGGGACCACAGTGGAAAGTGAGAAACCATGTTGAGTGTGCCTAAGGAGAGTCACTTAGAGAGAAAACTTCTCTCAGGCTTTCACAGAGAGTAAATTGGTCAAACAATGGCCATGATTCATCCAGATGGCTGACACTGTCAAAAGATCTACAAAGTGCTTTATATGGTTTCAGGGTAAATCCTGAGGAGATGTGACTGACCTTGTCAGATACAAAATTTATGTTTTTTATTGTATAGGTCTTGCTTTACCAAGTCTCCTTTCTATAAGCAGTGCTACCAGGATCCCAATTGTCTGGCTCTAGAACCTGTGGCCTTTTTCATTGCTTCCCAGATCCCTGTTGCCACAAAGAAGTTACAGCCTTTGAGGGGGCTGCTTCAAATGAGTTCTCAGGACCATAAGTGTTTGAGAAGCAGAGTGAATCTTTCATGGCACATAGGTAGAATTTGTAGCATGTTGCTTGTAGCAATCCAAACAAAGTGCTGCTCACCACCTGGCTCTTTGAGGTCAACCTCCTTGATGCACATACTTCCTTGATGGAAATAAGTCAGATTTCCATCACTATATTGAGATAACAATTTATTTAAAAGAAACATTTATCTGACTCATAGTTTGAGAGGTTTCAGTCCATAATGGATTGACCTTGTTGCTTTGGATCTGTAGTAAGGAAGTTCATGATGTCAAGGAAACTGTAGGTGGAGTAAACTCTTCACTTGTCTAGGATGCTAAAGAGAAAGAAGAGAGAGAGACCAGAGTCTCAGTATCCCCTTCAGGGACCATTCTCAGTGACTAGATGTCCTTGTACAAGTGCCTACTTCTTAAAGCTCTCACCTCCTCCCAGTAGTGCTAAGCTGGGTTCTAAGCCTCTAATACAAGGGTCTTTGGGAGGCATTAAAGATTGAAACACAGTACAGATGAACTGTAAGTTTGAATTGGCTTCCTTTTGGTCTGCAGTGCTCACAGGTGTTCAGGGGCTTGGCAAGAGCCGATGGGGCCTGGGAATGTTCTTGTACCATCTGTGGCTCTGATCAACAGTCCTAGCCACTGATGAGGTCCTTGCTATTTCTTACAGGTGCTGGGCTTGTGTTTATCCTGTATCCAGAAGCCATTTCTACCCTGTCAGGATCTACATTCTGGGCCATCCTGTTTTTCATCATGCTCCTGACTCTGGGCCTTGACAGCTCTGTGAGTGACCCTGCTCAGGAAACACCTCTTCTCCTCTGGTCCTGTCCCACCAACACACATATATAATATGTAGCATGAATTCCCACCATTTGGACTCCTGGTTAGTCACTTTTCCAAAAGGCCCTACTTAAATACAACCAGGGTAAGGGCTCTTCCTTCAAAAAGACACAATCTAGTCAGAGTCAAGAAACAGTGATTGGGCAGGGGAGATAGCTCAGTGGCACAGCGCCTGCCTGGCATGTGCACAAGAGCAATGTCCTGACTTTGATTAAAAGAGAAGAAGAACCAGTGGTAACCCCATTAGCGACATGAAAATCAAAATCAGAAGATAAGTCAGCCTAACACTGTCCTCTTGCAGACATAGCAATTCAGAGAGGACATGGATAGAGGCTTAAGCACTTTTTCCTTCATTTAGAATTCACCACCAGAAAGCAACAAAAAAGTTTTGAGCCTCATTAGTTTCTTAGAAACTTTTATGTTACCCATATACAAGTATAGATTTTCTTAATTTTTTAAATGTATTTAGTACAGGGTCTTACCAACACACACACATAATACTTAACATGAAGTTTCCACAAATTGGACTCCTGGTTAGTCATTTTTCCCAAAGGCCCTACTTAAATACAACCAGGGTAATGGCTCTTCCTGGTTCCCTCCAGATGGGAGGCATGGAAGCAGTCATCACAGGCCTGGCTGATGACTTCCAAGTCTTGAAGAGACACCGGAAACTCTTCACATTGGCCGTCACCCTTAGCACCTTTCTTCTGGCCCTGTTTTGCATAACTAAGGTGAGGAGAGTTTGGGCCCTGGGTGACCTGGAACTTCTCAGACTGCATTTCAATGAAGTTTAGGCATTTCCAGGCTTGGTGATGGAGTGGCTGGAGCCAGGCTGAGCCCTGAAAGGTGGCTGGCATCATCCTCAATTCAGTGGCCTATTCTCCTCTGGGTAGACCGATGGCTGTCACCTTCTGCCTCTTTGCCTGTTAACTGTTTGATTTGAGCCATCAAAAGTCCCTTTGAAACTCATCTCACTGTATACATGCTGCAACACCTATCTTTAGATCCAGTGGCTTCCAGAGGCCTTAGAATGCAACTCAAACCCTGTTACCTGAGTTCTCAGACAGCTCTGAACAAGTGGAGCAGGACACAGGTAAGGATTGATGGATGCACTTCTAGTCAAAGATGGCCTCAGGTCTTTTTTCTCCCCATCCAGGGTGGAATTTATGTCCTGACTCTCCTGGACACTTTTGCAGCAGGCACCTCCATCCTGTTTGCAGTGCTCATAGAAGCCATCGGAGTTTCCTGGTTTTATGGTATGTACATGTGTGATGAAACCTTGGTCCCCAATGCTCATGGAGCCCTTTTATCTGGAGACACAGAAGGGTTCTGTGCTCCCAGAGCAGTGCCTTGGTCTCCAGAGATGAGCAAGCTGCTTGTTGAGAACAAGTCCTCCTAACCTCAGCTCATCTATAAACAAATTCCCCTTAGCTGGAGGCCGCAAAACCTTCTGAAGGCACTAGTGTCAGCCTCTACGGAGGAACTCAAAAGAAGCCACAGGTCCTCAAGTCATGGAATTCATTCTAGCATAGGGTTGCCAGTTTAGTAAACAAAATACAGGATGTCCAGTTAAGTCTGAATTTCAGATACAAAAGGATAAGTTTTTCATACATGTGTGTCCCAGGTGATGCATGAGACATACTTATCTTAATGTTTTTCCATTACAGTATTTATCTGACTTTCAAATTTAACTGTGTATCCTATAGTTTGATAAACTTATTCTAGAGCCAAAGTGAGAAAATATTTTATGGACTGCACTGTAAATTGTTCACCTCCCCCACTCCATAGAAGACACCAATGTTAACCCTGCTCCCACACCCAGAAGGGTTAGGAAGGATTAGGAAGGGATGCGATGTAAGAACTTGAGTTCTTTTATGCAATTGCAGTCAGAATTTTGCATGTGCATGCACATTTGATACGATGACTGTGCATAGAGTTGTCATTTTTCCAAGAAGAAAAAGCTGGATTCTGAATGAGAACAACTTGACTTTAGTCTGAGGCAAGCTTCCTTCACACTGACTCCCTCCTACAAGTTAATTGGGATGAAGCATAAAGGGTGGCATGGTCCTTGATTTTGTCCTCTTCCTTGTTCTGAGTCAGCTAAGTGCCAAGTCTTAGGTCTTTGAGTCCTAGATCACTGCCTTGCTGTCCATATGAAGACCAGAAACCCATGGGTCCTGATTGCTGGGTCTGTGTGAGCCACCATAACAGGCCTTTTCTATGTGTACAGGTGTGGACAGGTTCAGCAATGACATCCAGCAGATGATGGGGTTCAAGCCGGGCCTGTACTGGAGACTGTGCTGGAAGTTCTTTAGCCCAGCCTTCCTTCTGGTGCGTAGCCTGTGTCGCAGGTGTGTTCAGGGAGGAGTGTGGTGGAACTCTGGCTTCTTAGGGGAGGAGGCAGTGGGGTTGAGAAGATCTGATGTATAGACAGCACCACTGGACTGCTTAGCCCATGGCTGGTACCACGGTGGGCTTCTGCTTTAGCAGGGTCTCCAGCCTGGGGCAAAGCATCAGGAGACTTGCACTAGCTTTAAAGTCACCATTCTGTTCTTACTCTTCTGTCCTTGTCCCCTGTTGTTTTTGTCTCCTTTCAATCATCATCTCTTGAATTCTTTCTCTGGGTCCTTTCTCCCTTCGTCCTTTCCCTAAGACCCATTTTATCCACTGCTTCTCATTTGTCTAGTTTTCTCTGTTTGTCCCTCTTTTCAGCTCTCCTTCATGTTGCTCTGCTTGTCCTTCTTCTCTCCTCCTTCCCACCCCTCTCCTCCACTCACACCTTCTCTTTTGTTCCTCCTCCTCTAGTTTGTGGTGGTTGTCAGCATCATCAACTTCAAACCACTCACCTATGACGACTATGTCTTCCCCACCTGGGCCAACTGGCTCGGGTGGGCCATTTCCCTCTCGTCCATGGCCCTGGTTCCAGCTTACATCATCTACAAGTGCCTCAGCATGCGGGGCTCCCTTCGGGAGGTGAGCTCTGGACCAGCCATATAGGGACGGGACAGGAAGGATAGGAGAAAGCATTCCTTGGGGGTTAGACAACCGCCTCATTGACCAAGATACTATCCCACTGAGCCTCAGTCTCTGTATCTGTAATCCAAGGCTCACACTGTATTCCTTGAACAGGAAAAGGAAGTATTCGATGCAGTGCCTGACACACAGACAGTGCTCAGTGTATATCACTTGCCGCCACTATGACTGCTCCTATGTGACAGCTATGTGACTTCTCAGCCCTAGAGTTCAGTGAGGACTGATCAGACAGACTGCCCCAATTGGCTCCTGCCTGTGTTTTCCAATGCTTGTCATTTCCCCACATGGCTCTAATCTCCTTGTCTAAGCCCCTACTATGATCAGCTCTTCCTGGTTTCACTTGCCTTTCCTGATCATGATATGATCAGCATAAACCAGAGCCTGTAGAACAAAGATATCGTCCCCTTCATCCTTCATCTACGCACCAGTCAGGAATGCACTGAGCATCTGATATGTGTCACTCAGTATTCTGGCCACTGAACAAAACACACTGACCTTCTGGAACTAGTTCTCCTGAGGAGACATATAATATTGAGCATGTAGGGGAATGAGCCATGCAGGAATGTAGGGAAGCAGGTCCCAGGCTGTGTCTGTACTCTTCTCCCCAATCCTCAGCTTGTGTTTTCTGTGCAGGAAGTCTATGTCCTGGGCCACAGGGAGAATCCACATTCAGTGTATTCATCCTAGACAGGCTTCTCATTTTTCACACTTTGGGAACGACGACAGCTCCCATGACCCAGGGACAAGCTGTGGTTTAAAGCTCACACTGAGTTCCTGAGAATGCCTACCCCACGAGGCCTTCCCTGATCTCATGCAGGGCAGGGAATCTCCTTTACATTCTCACTGTAGCATTTACTGGTTTTTAGTGTATCTCTGTGTGTTTGCTGGATGTCATGGCTGTCAGCTCCCCCAGACAGAGACTGTGGGGCTCCTTCAGCTCTAGGTCCACAGACCTGGCCCAGTGCTGACTGCAGTAAGCAGCTTGAGAAACAGTCGCTGGAAGCGTGATTCAAAGAGCGCCAGTGGGGCATATAGCTCAGCTCAGCGGCACAACATTTGCCTGGCAAGTGCAAGGTCCTGAGTTCAATTTCTGGTCCCTCTACGCCCCCCCCCCCCGCCCCCAAGATCATCAACCAGCTCCCTAAACAAGGGTGTGGGTGTGGGTGTGGGTGTCTTTTATAGATCTGTGGGGGGTTCAGGTCCACATAGTGGAGGACCAAATCGCAGGTGTGAGCTGGGGCGCTGGGAAGATGCTCCAGGTCTAGACTAAGGCCTCGTCTTCCTCTTCACAGAGACTGGCTTACGGCATCACACCGGAGAATGAGCACCACCTGGTGGCCCAAAGGGAAATCAGGCAGTTCCAGGTGGGATGCAGCCTGAAGACTTCCACAGGGTCTGGGGCTTAGGGGGTGGAGTCTGAGGCTGGAGGCAGTCCCTCCAAGCTCCCTGCTGTGTGCCTATTGCAGGGCCTTATGACCAGAAAACCCAGCATAACTGGATTGTGTTGCTGGCCTGAAGGACAGGGCCCTGTGCTCTGTTGTGCCCAGCTTCCTCCTGCCCCTCTGCTCCTGGTCCCGGGATGTCACATGCCCAGTTTCTCCTGCAATTCTACTCTACCTCTATAAGTTGTCATTATGGAGTGTGATTAAACTACACTGAGCCCTTAGCCTTCCCTTTTTCCTTAAAGCATCAGGATTTGGGATGAGCAGGATGGTGGGGGTCATGAGGGCCACTGACACCCCCTGATTTTCACTTTCTGGGCCTATGTAGCAACTAGAGCACCAACTGCTTGTATTCCAAGGGCTGTGAAAGGTTGGGGCTGCTTATTGTGTCTCCTTGTAGCTTCTTGTACCCCAGCAATCCCATGCCCCTTGCCCTCCACCTGCCCTGGCCCTGTCTTAGTGACTTCGGCATCTTTTTCTACAGCTACAACATTGGTTGGCCATCTGAACATGATGCTGAGGAGGAGGAGCCTGCCCTGCCCAGGTCCTGGTCAAAGGCCTCTGCTTCGCTCCTGCCCGGACACTGCCTTGGAATTCTTCTCCCAGAAGATGCCCTTTCAAGCCCTCTCTTCTTTCCTTGGTTACAAATGACTTAGTGACTATGATTTTTGTTCACCTCTGTTCATGTTGCCTAAGGCCTGTGAGTGAAGGATTGATGAGCCTCAAGGGAGAGGAGGAAAGGAGGAAGCCATAAAAATAACTTGTGGAACCCGATTTTGTGGGGTAGGTGTCATTACTTTTGGAGCCCACCCAAGCTAAAATCTATGGCTCAGGCAGAATCTTTTACCACATTTACTTGTACTTTGGGCGACAGAAGAAAATCTCATTCCACCAAATCTGAGAAAGGATGGGCTTTATATCAGACACCAAAATGTCATCAAAAATCTGGTTTAGTTTGGTGTGTGGATGGGGAATTCATACGACCCTCTTGTCTTTTACCCATTCCAGGAAGCACTGTGGTATTTGAACTTCATTTTGGGAATTTCAGTTTATTTGCCTCTAAAATGAAATCAGTAGATTGATGTTTTGGGGACTTTAAGCAGAAATTTTCACAGTTAGTTTTCACTCTGGCTATCTGCATTTGATTAGTGTATGATCCAGAATGTTCCTTCGGCTTCTGCTGTGCAGATGTTCCACAGCCATGGAAACCAAGGAAAGAATGCAGGTGAATCAGAGTGAGCAGGGTCCCCAGGGGATCTCTATTAGGCAGAGGCCACTAGACCAGCCATATGTACGGAAGGCATGTGCTAGTCTTGTCCTGTGAAGAGCATGAGATCTTCAAAACTGAGTGGTTGTTCCTGAGATCTTCTGGGGAAAATGGGACAGGGACTTGGGGAAGCCAAGGTGGGCAACCATAGGACTCTCTGCTATCCTTTCGGGGTCATGTAGGTGACAAACTGTCATGGATATTTACTGTTCATGGACACTAGGAAAACCTTCCCTGAGGACCACAGCACATACCAGGAATCCTGAGTAGTGGGGAGTTAACCCTGAAAACTTTTGTCTCTTGTCAAGATCTGGACACCTTGGCACCTTGGGTAGGGGGTGGGACTAAGCACTCCATGACCCAGTCACTCAAAATGAGAGAATGTTCCGAGTGGGAGATCAGGTTGGTAGGTTTAGGACATTCCTAGGTTTGCTTCTGATGAAATTCTCAAGTGATGGTGGTGAGTTTCAGTTCTGTGAGAAATGATCATTGGTTTGCAAAATGGGTGGCATTTAATTGGGATTTCTACTTATGGTTTGAGTCTCATGAACTCACTGGGAATCAAAATTGTGCATTCCTATTTTAACCATGGGAGCCCTTGTTGCACATTAGCCCACTTCATTTACCCTGGGGTGTGGGTGACACACTGAGTACGCTGGGGCTAAATCCAGGATGCCTGTGAGCCCCTCAGTTGCTGCAAAAACAGGGTTGGGTAGCACTCTTTAGAGACAGTGGTGGCTCATCTCTGAGCATCATGGAGGTTTTAGACTGAATCAAGACCTTTAGGTCACTCTTTGGAGAATAAAGAGAGGAAATGAGTAGCCTTTTGATCTTTTATTAAGAGGAGGTCAGCATATGGCCTGAGATAGCCTCAGTGACCTGCACCTTGGGCCCCTGGGAAAGATGAGGCCAGTTGCACACAGATGGAAAGGATCAGGTGCTGGTCTGAATACCTTGACTCTTTCTATGAGTGATAATACCTTCCTAAATGCTATCATTTTTATAAACAAAGCACTTTTCCTATGTTGCCTCCCAGCTGCCTTGGACCGGCTTCTGTTTTCCCACCTGTTTGGTGAGAAAACTAACACTTGGCATTTAAGTTCATGTTGAAGGACTGATTTCTGAGGAAGTGAGTTGGGACTCCATGGCCAACCTCAGCTCTCAGCTGATAGAACTTGGGAATACCCTCACCATATGGTCCATCCCACCTAGGACTGTCACGAGACACAGAACCCACAGAAACCTATTCAAGGGCCAAAGAGAACCTCTTAGCCAAAGAACAATGTATTCGAACACAGGAAGAGGAGAAAGAATGGCATTCATTCTTACCTAGATCATTAACAGACAGAAGATTGTTTAGCTGTCATGCTCTTTTCATGAAAATAACTGCTCTTTAAATAATAGGACCTGAGACGCTAAATCCACTTGGCTGACCTGAGCACCCACTCAGAAAGACCCGTGTGCATTAAATCCCAGCCAGCCTGCTATTTTCTTCTTAGTCACTTGTACTGTGGTCCTTCTGCCTGTAGACATTGTCCTTGGGGCTAATTGGAGGAGTGGTGCTAGCTGAATGAACATCAAACCAATGTCATGGTGCTGCCTTGTGGTGAAGTTGGATCCTGAGTCTGGGGTAGATGGAGAGGTTCCTGGCTCTAATCCTAGGTCCCTTGAGAGGATCGGGGTACTCAGAAAGGCCTTGAGGTTTCTCACAGAGGTTCTGGGAGACCACTGGGTTGACCTTTCCACCTACATGTGCCAGAGAAAGATTGTGTGCTTCATCCTAAGTAATGCTTGACTTCTTTTGTGTAACCTTTTTTTAATAGAAGTCACCCAGGACCAGGGTGCTCCTGTGTACTGTATATGACACTTGACACTTTTGATATTTTACTAGGTTTTTAAAGAATTATTGTTTTCCATGAAACATAAGAGATCTATTTAAGGCCATCATGTTGACATCCTGCTACTCGATGTCTAGTTATTTAGCATTTACATGTTAGTCTTTGTTCTAGATGCAAATAAGGCGAAGGAAGAGGAGAGCTGCCAACTCTTGCCAAATATCTTGCTGAACAAAATTTCCTAAACTGCCTTAATTCTCGGGGAACAGAGAGGTTCTTGCCCAGGTGGGAGCCTATCTCTAGTTATGTGTTCTCTTTTCCATCTTTGGTCACATAAAAGCTGAAGCCTTCTTACCAAAGAAGTCATCACTTAGTAAAGAATTCCACCACACTCACTTTATGTTTGTTAATTTCCTTTGAAGGCACAGAGCGGGACATAACACAAGGTATACACTTGGATATAATTGCACAGACCTGAGTCTGCAGCTGCCCAGCTGGGCAGCTTGAGAAGAAGAGCTTCATACCTTTTTGGTTCAAGGCATAAAGCTGTCTGCAAAATCAGGGATTGTATCAGACAATGAAAGGTCCTATCCAGTTAAAAACAATCCAAAAAACCTTCACATCTCCATGACAGTATTCTTGTGCTACATTTACAATGAAGAAAATACATCACTTGCTGTAGGGTGTTCCAAAGTGACCCTCAGCTATGAGCAGGCTGCTTAGAAATTATCAGATTTCTAGGCTCTAGGACCTTGAGTTTTTAGATCTTCAGTAGTTCCACTTTCTCAGATGTTTCTCCAGCTGATGCCAGAAATACTTGGTATTAGAATGAACAAGATAATGCCAGCCCTTCTCTTTGCAGAGCTGGAGGTGATACTCTGTCATGCCCACAGGCGGCGTGACAGCACTGAGGACTGTGAAGGCACTGCGAGGGTGCCTGCCCGTTTCTCTCTGTCTCTCAGCTTTCGTGAAAATGCAGACTTTTGCAATGTTGTCCTCTCTGTCATGGATGTTCTAGTGTCCTGCAAATCTCTACTGTCTGATTTGGATTTCTTTTAAGAGTTGTTCTCTTCATGAAAAAAATAAGTGTAAAGAATAATAAATGCTATTTCCTGTGGCATGTATCTAGTCCTGAAGTTTTGAATGTGTTTTGCCATGAAAGCCCAATGCTATGACTTGTTTGACGTAAGTGGGTTTGTTTGTGATCGGCCGCCAGCTGGCAACAAAGAGGTTGGTCAGAGCAGTCCATGTAGCAGCCAACCGGAGACTATAGGGGGTTAAATCTGAAATCTTAGATATGCGATTGATGCAGAATGTGTGTGTGTGTGTGTGTGTGTGTGTGTGTGTGTGGTGCCAGAGACTGAGTTGTACCACCAGTCTGACACCACTTACTTACAAAGTGGTTACCAAGGGGCAACAGGCTTAGCTATTCGCTTTTAAATACAAAATAGTAATAAAAACTCAGTATTAGAAATGATACAAAATTTCACAAAACAAAGTAATAGGAATTCAACAATGATGGCTGTATTGCATGATGCTATCTTTAATTGTTTAGGCTACCAGATGTACACATGCAGGATTGGTTTAGGAAAACAAAACAAAAAGAAAAAAAAGACAAAGAAAAAGAAAAAGATTTAAGCATTAACTCTTTCTTTCAAAAGACCAGCACAAATCAGCAGCACAATTATCCAAATTATCCTGCATATATACATAAATGTATCTTTTTTTCTCTTTCTTTGGTCCTTTTCCTCATCCCAGTTCTTGCTTCCCATTGAACAATATTTTTTTTTTCCTTTTCACAGTATCTATTGTACCTTTCAGATTTTACTTACTCTTTCAGGTTTATACAATGGAGTATTAATCACCCATAAAAATATAAGTTCAAGCCTTTTGTAGGTAGATGCATGCAACTAGAGACTGTATTGGTAAGTGAAATAAATCAGACCCACATGGGCAGACATTGTATTGTGTTGTTAGTGTGGGAACCTAACTATCTAGTTTTGATTCATTTTGTTTTTCATGTTGAGGGATGATTTTCAAGGAAATCAGGCCTTCTGCTGGATTAAACTGAATATGTAATTTGTGCATATATAGGATTTTTTTAGGAAGAGGGTCACTGGTACACTCAGGCCCTGGGAGCTTAATACTGGTTTGGGTAAGATGTGAATTGATAGAGCCTTGTTTTTAATACACATCAGCAGGTAGATGATGGTACCACCCTAGTAAAGATAGCTAAATAACTAAATATTGAGTAGAAAGATGTTAATGTGATATTCTTTTTTATCTTTTATTTTCATGTATTTGGTACAGGGTCTCACTACGCAGCTGATACTCATAGTGATCCTCCTGTTTTCAGACTCCCCAGCACTAGGATTACAGGTGTGTGTCACCATCCCAGGTCTTGGTGACTGCTCAGCATGCCAGGGGTGGAGCCAGCACAGCATGTGGTGCTGGGGATCAAACCCTGGCTCCTAGGCTTGCCTAAGCAGGCCATTAGTCTGCTGAGTTATCTTGCTGCCCCTGTGATGATCTTAAATGGATGTCTTTCATAGAAAATAAGAATTCTTTAAAAACTCAGTAAAATATTAAATAACAATTTGGTCCTTCTGCTTTGTCAGGGCTGCCAGGAACTAGGGCCTGGACCCCAGGGCTGCACAGAGGCTGACAGCAGGAGGGCTGAGGAGTCAGCTTGAAAGATTAGACTAAAACAGAGAATGGACCATGGCTGGAAGTGGTGAACTCCTCAGCTTTGGATATGTGTGATCAGAGAGCAGGAAATGTCCCAGGAACATGATGGCGACAGGTGGTAGAGACCTGTTATAAATCAGCTGGGCTCCCTCCTGTTTGTGACTTCTGAGTTCTCTTTGGAAAGCCATAAACTAAGCCTGATTACGGCAGGAGGAGGAGCAAATACATGCTTGCTGAGGATCTTGGGGCAAGGGGTGGTTTTACCTGAGATACTGGGGTTTGGCAGACATCCCAGAGAGTAGTATCATTCCAATCAGTTGTTTCAATGCAGGTGTATCTCACACAAAAAGGCAGCTGTGTTTCTAGCATTCTCTGTGCCTGAGAATGTGGGTTTGGGAGCTGGCCAGAAGGACAACTCTTCTGGGGATGAGGTTGGATCTGGCAACCCAGGCTGCCTCCCTGTCCCTAAATTGACAAATGCAGTCTGAGAAGCAAAGCAACACAGTGACTATGGGGCTCACTTTCAGCACCTGGTGGGCTACTGAATTTTACTAAATGTGATTACATCTTTGCCTTGCTGGAGATTAGATAGCTTCATCAATATCTGCTTCCTGAAGACACTGGTAAGTGCAGTCTCTATGTAGGCTTCACCTTGTTCATCTGAGCAAAGGACTAGGGGTCATCAAAGCTCAACATTTTAGTATAGGCTTCCTAACATTTCAGACCCTTGGGAGATTCAGTGGGGAGCTTTGTTTGGATGGGTGCACATGTGGTCTACTGAGGAAAGGACACATGTATGCCAGGCCATCAAATATTTATAGCTCACGTGTACATATGGTGGACACTCTTGAGTTGTGGCAACAGTATCTGCAGATTCAACCTACTGCAGATTGAAGATGCCAGAAAAGAATGCATTGGACTGAGTACATACAGACATTGTCTTGTCACTGTTCTCTAAACAATGTAGTATAAGGACCATTTATATAGCACTTACATTATATTAGGTATGACAGGTAACCTGTAGATGACCTGAAATATATGGAGGAAATGTGAGCAGATAATACGCAAATGACCTGCTCACTACACCATCTTATGTAAGGGACTTGATGTTAATATCTGTGAGGATGTTAACAGTCCCAGACACAATCCCTCAAGAACACCAAGGAACAGCTGTGTCACTTTGGGGTTTTTTCACATTTGATGATACCCAGCATTAGTTTCTGCCCCTGTTCTGTGCTATAGGAGGGTGTCAATGCAGTCCATTTCTAAATCTTCATCACAGGCACTATGCGGACTACTCACGCCAACCCACCACACAGCAGACACCTTGCTGTGAAGCAGCTGGATCAGGAGCAAAATGTCCCCTGGAGAGGTGATGCATTTGAGGTTGCAGCTGAGAAGTGACCCACCAAAAATCACACAGTGGCTGGAGGACAATCAAGTACCAAACATCTGGGTCAATGTTTTCTCATTATTTCTAGTTCCTTTTGCAAATAAAATATAGTGAGAGATCTGACAAGTCCTGATAGCTGTCCCAGACATGTTGGAAAGGACAGCAGTGGTCTAAGGAAGAGTTCATCTGAGTGGGGCTCATTGCAAGGATCGGGAGAGATCACTTTGTCACACAGGCAGAGGAAGACAATCTATGTAGGTCTGGACAGATCTGTAAGGTTGGATGTCGCAAGCATTGAGAAGCTTTACATCTCTAGTACTCAATTGAGAACAGGTACCCTGATGTTGTAACTGAGTCATTATGGACAAATTATCACTATTTTGGCCTTTCTGTCTATAAAATGAGAATTTTTTTTCAAAGTTTTATTGATAAACAGCAATGAGACAGCTTCAAATCAAATCAGAAGTACAGTTTCAACAAATAATA